GGGGGGTGGGAGCCCTTTAATATTAGGAGGAAGAGATTATAGTATTTTGGCGTGTATATTGGGCTAAAGCTATGTTGGGAAACTATGGCTTGAAGCACGGCCATCTAGAAAATCCCGTCTAACTTATGGCTTGTCAGTAGGGAATGGAGGAATGGATCGTGAATCCCCTACTGGACCCCCTGAGCCTGAACCCTAAACCTAGCAAGCTAGCCTGAATCGGCCTAAACCCTATACATCCTATAAGCCCCCAGTTTCTCTTTCATGTTCTGCTTTTTCCAAATGATATTCCATTCCCTACTAAGGAGGAGAAAGTCATCCACCCAGAACAAAGAAGGTAATCCTAGTTGCCATGTCACTGTACATTTGGTAGTCTCCCTAAATACGTGGACACCTATATAGTCCCAAAATACTCTCATCCTTAGTCTAGGGAACCCCAAAAGAGTACACATAATTTTAAGAAACCCGAGTTTAGGTTTCCATTTGGGTCTCCCGTATTAGCTCAACGGCCTGAATAACCCCTGATTTTCGCCTTTGAAGGGTACATTACTTACCCCATATACGTCATAACTCAGGGAGCAAGCAATGCCCTGCCCACCTCTTGGCCAAAGGCATGGTGGCACCCGACATGGGCCGTTTCTGTGGCGCCTGGCAGGGCAGGCCGCCCAAACTCGTGAGCTAGAGTCTAAACTCCTAGTATCCCGCTTCATAACCCCGTAACTAGTCTCTTATATTATCCCCTGCAGAACCTCTCTAAGGAGTTTAGACTATAGCTCATGTTTGCATAGGGGAAGCGTAGGCATACAACAAAACACTGGGGGGTTATGCATGACAGTAAAAAAAAGACTCCAGGGCATTTCCGGGTTACCTAGCGGGGAAGTCGTAAGGGTAACGTGGGATGCTCCAAGACTTTAGTACAATTTAGGTATAAGGTGACTCTTGTGGTTTGACCAGGGCCACGGCAGCCCAAGTTTACTCGGAGCTATGCTATGCTTTGCTATGTGCGGTGGCGGATCTGATTCGGAGATGCAACTATCCGAGACAGCTAGCTTCAGGGGTGACATAGTACTGCCTGTCAAAGATCAAGTGAAACGGCGAATGTCTCTACTCTTACTTTTCCCATGAGTCTTCCAGACTGCCCTTCACACCCCCTCTGTTAGCATTTTCCATGCTTCATCGCCATTTCTACTCGTTCAATCATCCGTCTCTGCCTTGGTCACGCTGACTGTGGCGCCCCCCTTCGCCGGCGGTGCCTGCGAAAGCTATCAGAATCGGGAAACACACTCTGAGCATTGATTTGAGTAATAAGAACAAAAGTAACGACAATAGGAATAATCAATAATCCTAATACTGGGATTAGTGCGTGGCCCGCCTTCTCCATGTTATTGCATGTTACAGACTCCAAGATCACAAGACCTGTATTCGGGACATTCGCGAGACGCCAGTACAAAGCCATCTAGAAGACGGTCTTTTCAGGGAAGTCATGACATTTGGACCAATACCGCTGATACTCCCACCACAGAACGTCGGTCATGATTTCGAACCGAAGAACATGGAGTTAAACCCTGAACTCTCAACCCTAAGTAGTAGCTTCCATTTTGTTTTCCATCATCCCCATATAACCCCTATATAACCCCTGATATACAAAATTGTTTGGAAGGTTTCATGCTTTCAGACCCTTCAGGAGGTCTTAGAAGCTGCCACGGGCGGCCTTGGCGATTCTCATCACGCTGGAGGATAGGGATTTCGGCGGTGGAGTCGAAGGCTCTCGGGGCGTTTTGGCCAGTGGTGCCTGGCAAGCCAGTGAGTTCATGTGAGCTATAGTCTAAACTCCTGGTATCCCCATAATAACCCTGATAGTAGTTCCCTACATAACTCCTACATAATCCCGTTATAAGGAGTTTAGACTATGGTTCATGAAAGAAGTATATTTTGTCGTATAACACCTCAAAACAATAAGTGTACCGCCAAGCTCGAAAGAGACAATGGACAAGGGCCACCCAAAGGGGAAGGGTTATTACGGGATAATGGAAAAGAAAATGGTAACTACTACAGGGTTCAGGGTTAAGGTTCCAGGATTCAGGGTTTAGGGGTCAGGGTTTAGACCCCTGATTTCGCGGCCCCAGCAGCCAAAGAGATGGGTGCTTCTCAAAAAATAGGTTCCCCTTTTTTCATTCCACTTTTAACCTAGGAAATAGGGTAGTTTCCCAAAATAGGGGGACCCCAATATAGACTCCAAAATACTATAATCCTTATTATGGGAACCCCCAAAATGGTACCCCTAATTTTGGGAAACCCCCATATGGAGGTTTTAAAGAGAGCATAGAGCCACCCTCAGGCTTACACTTGGATTGCCCGAAGAATATCCAGACAGACAAACCCTAAGGGTCCAAGGACCAAAATAATAGGGTTTTAGGGCCCAAATACGATGAATACTATAGTATTTGGGCCCTAAAACCCTATTATTTGGGTCCTTGGACCCCTTAGGGAAAAGGCCTTGGGAGCTTTTGCCACCTTCACTGCAGCTTTCACCGGAGCCTGGGGCCAAGTGGACACGTTTTCATGGGTCCAACATCCAAAGCCATCCTTGAACTTAGTAGATGAAGCAATGAGATGGGTTTCCATCTGCAGGACCTCTTTCAGGGTCTGGATGCCATCTTTTCCTGCATCATCTACGAACGCGTTCTCCTTTGCGGGCCTGTTTCTGTATGGCTTGCCAGCATCAGGGTGATGTCCACAGAAAGAGGCAGAGAGACAGTGAGAGACTTGAACAGATGACAGCAATGCAATGCGCGCAAATGCCTTCTTTGGAGGATGCGGAGGTTGCGTGGGCATCTTGGCCTTCGCTGGTGGAGCCTGCACGAAGGTCAAACAAAGCTCCCAAATGCACCTTCCCAAATTTATCTGCAAACACAGCACATCCACAGAACGCAGCACCCCATTTGCAGAGTGGGAATAACTGAATAACTGCGATGGGACCCTCAGGCGATGTGTTTCCGAATCCTTCAGCATGTTGCGGACAGTCATGCTGCTTACAACCAGCAGCATCCTCCTGTTGCACATGTTACACTGTGCCTACTCCAGTTTGCCTCCGAAAACCAGAGCTCCGTGATCAATACTGTCAACTTACTTGTTCGTAGTAGCGAATGAGGGAACATAATCCCTATATAATATATATATATATATATAATTCAGGGGATACAATCCCTATAATCTAGTCCCATATTCCCTACTAATTCTCAGTAAGATACTGTCAACAGCAGGTCTGGCCTGCTTGGCCTGTTGCTTCGGAAAGCTTAGCTTGGCGGACTCGTCACCAGCCTTTGGTGGATCACAAGCAGCAAGACTGCTTGCGGGTGTTTAGGAGGGAATAAGGGAATATGTACTAGCAGTAGCAGTAGCTATAAGCGGGAGCAGAATTGGAGTTAGAAGCACATGTTGCCGGCACCGATTGTTAGTAGCAGTAGTAGCAGATGGTAGCATTCGCATCATCTTATCATCAGCAGCAGCAGCAGTAGCAGCACAGATTAGATTTTTTGTCATGACGATCCTGAATGAGACGTAACCTGTGCTGCGCGCGTCGATTCTTCGTGTGCGGTCCCGCCGGTACGCTTCGACACTAGTGATGAACACCTGGCGATGCGGGAGTTCGGGTTTATAGTCCCCCTTAAGTAGATGGAATATGGCTTTGGGTATATTATAATAAGACTCCCATATACCCCATATTCTATCTACTTAAGGGGGACTATAGGGTTTGGGGTGTCTAGGACCCGGGCAGCAGGCCTACAGAAAAGGCTTTGGGCGCTACGATCGGTTTTCATGGTTTTGGAGATCTAGGAGTCTGGGGAATAGGGCCTAGCAGTTGAAAGTACTTCTGAAGGGAACTGGTATGATGCTCATGCAAGCAAGCAAGCAAGCAGGCAGGCAGGCAGGCAGGCAGGCAGGCAAGCAAGCAAGCAGAGTTACATTTGTAACGCGCTGAAGCACAACTCACCTTGCAGAGAGGCTCAGATTCTCCGTTCTTTGAAAAGACATGCATGTAGGCTGGCTGTTTTAGCTCTCGTTCTTCAAAGTACTAGTCAAAGACAAGCCTGGAGGAAGACGGCAAAAAGAAAGCTGAGGAACCCTAGCATCCACAAGCCTAAACTGTGAGCCCGAAACTCTAAATCTTGAGCCAAAGCATTAGATCCCCAAAGCCCTAAAATTCAGAGCCCATCCCGGGCCACCTCAAACGGCGTGTCTTTGTCAAGCGTCGACTGCAGCAACCTGAGGGCCAAATGGGAGAGATCAGCTTACGTTCTCGGTTTCTTCAAAGCGGGGTACCTTTAAAGGCGGGTATAGGGGTTATGTAGGGATATATGGGGGGTTTCCCAAACTTGGGGGTTACCATTTTGGGGGTCCCCATATTATG